ACTTATTCAGGACATGCCATCATTTTAAACAATTGTCTATGAGCACCCCTTACGTGCTAATATAATGTGAGATATTGGAGCTATAAAGACAAATGGTTTCCTTCTGCCCTAAGGAAGCTTGTATCTTTATAGAGGATACAGATGAATAAGCAAAAAAAAAAAAAAAAAAAAAGGACAATACATTGTGTTACATTTTCTGATAAGTTTGCCAAAGCTACTCTGCAAGAGGAATACCTAATCCACTTCAGGAGAAAGGGGGAAGGGTTAGAAAATATTTTCAAAGAAGCAGTGGCCGAAGTTAAGTCTAAATATCAAATATGTCTTTGTGTTTGTGTAAAGGGCTATCTGTTGGATTGTGACAAATAATTATAGCAGTGGTATTCAGAGATGAGTTAGTGCTGGGTCTTGAATGTCAACCAGAGAATCGTGACTTGGTAGAAATGGGAGGTCATTTAAATTTTTAAGCTGGGAGCAGTAATAAGGCAGAAATTCTTCTAAAGCTTTCTGTTCATAGATCACTCAGATGGAAAGGGGATTGGAGGTGGAGAGATAAGTTAATTATTTTGTTCAACAACTTGAGTGTAGGGCAGTGGAAACCTGAATCTAGGACAGTGGTTACAGGGAAAGCACAAATCATCTGAATGTGAGTCTGGATTCAGAGGTAGTCTCCAGTGGCTTTTCCATAGGAATGGTCACTTGATCCAAACTAGAGGAGAGAAGAAAACTATAAACCAATCAGCAACAGCATCCAACTGATAATTGATAACTGGTTCAAAGACTGTGAAACTCTTTTGAGATGTAAATACAGATTTTAAAGGAAACATGGGAATAAACATAACAGAGAAGAGGGTAAAAGTTTGTTTATAGATGAAGGTACTAGTGTCCACTTAGATGCTCTTTATCCTTTTGTTTAACATTGCTTTTGTTTAACATTGCTTCTTCATTATTATGAGAATTTCTTAAAAGCAGATAGGAATGACTGTGAAAGGATTGGCACCAAATATTATGAGTATGGCCAAGAGAAACGTGTGGAGACAAAATGAATTTTGATATACCTAAATGTTATTTTGATACCAAATGATCTTTAGAAGAAAGTGATATGTGACACTTGAGAAGAATATCTTAGTATGAGAATCTAGCAAACTCAAAATAAGTTATCATGATAAATACCAGTGCAGTAATGAAGAAAGAAAACACTTATGGAGCCTTTATATTTCATGCATTTTACTAGAATTAAAATACTTCATGAATTAGAATGTGCATAGATCATATTTTAACATCTTGGTTGAGAAGTTTGGCAGAGTACATTAGTTCATCCTAGCAAATAAGATTACAGCATAAACAATTTTGAAAAATAATTTAGAAATCAAAAAGTAAAAGTTCAGATAAAATTTAAAACTTATAGGCAATTGATTGTGAATGGCACATTCTTGATGATATATATTTTCTACCATTGTTTCTATGTAATTCTGTTGTTGCCTATGCTTTTGTTCAGTCCCTACGAAGATGGTTAATTTTCATCTCCCTGTTGGTTGAAGCTGCTTCTTCTGGCAGGGCCACTGTACATTTTCTCAGGGACGGTTCACTTCAGATTCATCGCCACCACAGGAAAATTAACAAAGCAGATCTCCTACAGATTACAGGTCACAGTAATAGTTTTCCCATACATGAAGGGCAGTGTACAGGTACATAAATGTAAATGAAAATTGATATTCTTTTTGGTTAAACATTCGAATTGATGTCTCAGTTATATGTTTTGAAGTACTTAGGTTCTGAGGTTAAAAAAAGTAACTGAGAAAAAGTCTACTTATAAAAAAATAAATTATCCTTTGATATCCAGTGCAGCAACCTAGTATTTGAGACAAACAGAACTCCACAAAGGCTTAATGTATTCAGAATCTGACAAAGTGTGACCCATTTATGGAAGCAGAAAATGCACCACAGTTTCTTTACTATTTCTTATTTTCCTTCCAAAAGCAGGTAAATCATATTTACCAGCCAAAGAAAAGAACTGTTTACTTGTTTAGAGAAAAATGGAGAAACATGGGGGGAAAAATACAAGAATTTTGACTCAGAAAGATACTCTCAAAATATGAAATGTGGAGGACTTTCAAAGATTTCATAAGAATGTCAAAATATGGGAAATATTTGATGAACTTATTTAAAAAATAGTCATTCAGTCATTGCGATAGATGCCTATAGACCCTTTTCACACAGTGAGAATATTGAGCAGTTTACAGATGCCACATGGTCACATGGCCATTTTTTCATAGTTAATTTCTAAGATTTTTGTCAGAATTTTAAATATACTGGAAAAAGAGTAAACAACATTAAAATACAAATCTTCAATCTGGCTTAGGTATTCTCCTAAGTGCTCATGTCTATAGTAACCCTTTTTCTTTTTTTCTCCATGTGGCATTTTAATTTTTTCTCCTTTATGAGACCGTCAGCTCCTTAAAAATGGGAAGCTCTGTCTTGCACATCCTCATGTGCCCAGTCCTTTATATTGCACATAACACTTTATAGATGTATCCATAAATGTTTGCCAAATATAAGAATGAGTAAACAAACGCTGGAGCCCAAGGGCAATTTTTTTTTTATTAAAAAAGAGTATATATTAATATATAGATTGAGATACCTTTACATTACTCAAGTGTTGAAAATAGACCCATATGTTCACTGATTACGTTTAAATCTTCCAGAATTCCTTTCAAAAAGGACTTACATTGTAATTAATACTGTAATTAATATTACTTTAAAAATTCTAAGGGGTGAACATTATGTTTATAAACTAGGACAATGACAGAGATGACATTTCTTAGCCACATTTTTAGATTTTACACTGAGCTATGCTTTAAGTCATAGTTGGGACTAAATTTTTTTTTTTTAGTTCAGTATAAACTTAATATATTGAAGGATTTAAAAGGCTTTCAAATGCAGTTCCTTTATTCATTGACATTATGGCCTGGCCAGACAGATTACATGTGGCTAGAATGACTTGTATCCACAACGATGTAGATTAAATTTAAAAAAAAAAATTGGGAATGGCTTTTGGGACTCTTGGAAACCATTTCCAGTCTAAAGCCACAAGGGCAGAAATAATCAATAATGGTGACCATTTGGTTCCATTCATTTCTTTTAATGAACATGCTCACAACTCATTAAAAGCAGTCTTACTGGACTGGGATGGATTTCAATTCTCTTGTGAGAATAAAAATAAGAGACAAAAAATAAGAGCCTTTGACAAAACCTGTGGGGTTGCAGTGCTCTTCCTTCTCTTCCCCTGTCCTAACAGATACTCATGTTGTTTAACTTCGAAAATTGCCATCTTGGTACAGACTGACAAGCAGTTGATCTATGACTGTTAGCTAAATTCTCCCCATGATTCTTGATTCAATTTATTTTTGGAAAGCATCTATAAACTATAGATCAGTTTCAAATATGTAAAATCTGTAAATGTAGGCATAAAGGTCTCAAAAAAAAATGGTCTCAGAACTGATTTAATCAGTGTATTAATATTCAGTAGGATAATTTCCATTTTTGTAGTCACTGCCCTAGTTCAAGTAAGCATTAATTTCTATCTAATAAAGTGTCATTAATACTGTGGATGCTTAAAAATTGCTTTTGATAAATGAACAACATCTAGATTATTGCAGCAGCCTCTTAACTTGTCTCACTTTAAGTTCCTTCCAATTATTATCTATTTTATAGCTAACTTCCAGAAAAAAACCTTCTCATAATTTTCCACCATAGGTAATTTCTTGTTTATGAAACTAGTTTTCTTTTTTAACAAAATCAACATTCCTGTACTTGAGATGAAATTTTCTCTGTTAATTTTCCTAGGTTTTCATTTCTTACTATCCAGTTAATCTCAGTGTTTCATTGCATCAGCATTTTTCAAAAAGTACATTTTAATTTTTTGGTGACTACCAGATATAGTCATCATCTTAAAAATGCAGTTTAAGAGTTTCCGAAATAAGCATACCAGCCCATGGGTAAACAAAGACTAGAAGGTCTCTATGATTTCAGAAAATGCCCCTTTCTCATATCCAAGTCAGAATGTCTTGGACAAGAATGGGAGAAGATGTGAGGGTAAAAGGGAAGTGATGACTTGTCTGTCTCTTTGTCAGTTGTGTCTTTTTCTCCCTAATTTTAAAACCACAGTGTCTGTACATAAGAGGATTTAGTGTTCAAAGGGATAATAAACCTTTTCAGAGAGAATGAACAGTATAGTTACTGATCAAGTGTAAATTTACGTTAAGTGTACATTTAGGGGGTTCTCAGGGGTTCTAGT